TCTTGTGCTTAGACCCTGTCCTTTGCAGAGCCCAGAAGATGCAGGTACCCCCAGAGAGGAACAGAAGCCTCCCAAAGATCTTTCTTTCCAAAGGGAAGAAAAGAAAGACCATTTTATCATTGCTATTGCTTCCTACATTCCCTATCCCCACTGTGAACCAAGTCCCAGGAACACTGTCCTGCCCCAAGGTGCCCTAGGAAAAATTACTTCCCAGAAGAATAAAGGGGGAAAGAATAAAGTAGAGTGCCAATGGTGAGTACTCATTTGCTCAAAAAGGAGGTGGAGTAGGGGAGAAAAAAAAAAAAAACATAGTGGGAACATAGTACAGAAAGTATGAGAGAAAATCTAACCCAGTCAGGTAGGTTTGGTGGACAAAGGCTGTCATCATCCACATGAACAGCAAGAACTACCAGAATGAGCAAAACAGGAACCCTACATAAACACGTTCATCTGTCTCTGTAAGGTGGAAAGTGCCTGGAAGCAGACACAGGCAGGTAACAGGGAGAAGTGTTTCCTTAAATCTGGTAACATTACTGATTGTAAAATGTGGGCCACCTGCAAGGACTGATTAAACTAAATCCAGTTCATGCTTGCCTGTACTCAAGCAAGGCATTATTCAGGTTGTTCCTTCTCCCTGCAGTAGCCTGAATTTGGTCATCCCATCTCAACATTCGCTGAGCAAATGGAAGAAGCGAGCTGCTCAAGGTTGCTGCATGTCTGCCTCTCTGATGAAATCCAGGAGGACTTGGCTAAAAGAAAATCTACGGGTTCCATTTCCAGACAAAGACAAATTCTCAACCTATCAGATGGCTCCAATCTCTATCAAAAAAGAATCTGTCAGTAGTAATTCTTTTTTATTTTAAAGACAAAAAAACAATAAAAATGATACAGAATTTGAAAACAAGATGATAGGAAATTAACAATGGTTATTATTATATTGCATATTGTTATCTTCAAAGTAGTTGCTCAGATTACCAGATGTAGGCATGCAAAATTGATCAAACAATATATGTACTAACTATTCCTTTCAATGAACTAATAGAAATTAGTAGTACAATTACCTTAGCTATCTAGTGTATATATATATTTTTCCCTTCCTGCTTTTCTCCTTTCCCACATCCCAGTTGTTTTTTTTTTTTTTCTTTTTGAGCAGTTTCTTTTCCTTTCACAGTACTGTCAGTAGTAATTCTTTTTTTTCTTCTCCCTTGAAAAAATACGATGGCCCATACGGGGCAATCCTGAGAACTTGTCCTCGCAGGGAGGCTTACTGAAGTTTATATGAAGTTTATTATTCAAAGAGAAACTACCATAAACCTTGTTCTCAGCAATGTCTAGGCCTCAAATATCACTATGGTTGCTCACTTCCATTGATATTTCTGGCCATTTATATTCCAGCCCCCACCAAGAGAAAAAAAGTAATCCATCAAACATACAAGTCTCTTGTCAAAAAGTTCTCCCCTAAGAGAACTGAGAGATAATAATTGTTTACAGACAAGCACTCTGTCTGAAAGGCCATAGCAAACTGATGCAAGAAGGTCTGAGAGGGAGATGCTTTACTTAGTTAAAGAAGAAAGTGCCGATAATACAGTACAGTATCTATTATTAAACTGAAATTTCATAAACAAACCATTTGTAAGCTTTAAATTATGCACCATTCTGAGTACTTTGATGAAATCTGTGCTGCCTCACTCTGTCCTATTCAGAACATGACTCATCCCTTTGTCCAGCATGTGCTTGCTGATATGTTATCTGGTCATTAGTCACTCAATAGCCAGCTCGGTTATCAGACTGACTTATTCGGTACTGGATTATTTGTGTTGAAGTAAACCTTACTTTACTTAATAGTGATCCCAGAACACCACAGTAGCAATGCTAACAATTTTATTATACATAGTTTTATACATATTCCATTTTATTATTAGTCATTGTTATTAATCTTACTGTGCCTAATTTAAAAATGAAATTTTACCATAAATAGGTATGCATATGAAAACGCAGAGTATATCTTCTTTGGTACTATCCGCGGTTTCAGGCTAGGGGTCTTGGAACATATCCCCACAGGAAAAGAGAAACTCCTATATACCAAAGTAGATCTTCCTTCATCCCAAACCTCCAGCATTACTCAGAGCAACTTTAGGTTCAGCTCATGCCTATTTTAAACGTCATTAAAATGTACCTGTACGTGTAGACTTTTCCTCTCCATAATCCTTCTGGGATATTACATTATAAATCATATCAAAAGTCCTATTAATGACATCCAATTAAAAAACAGATTAGGAGACTCACATAGAAAGCCCCACTAAGATTAATGAAACTGTTATTTCAACATGAAAACTGCCTTAGAACTTGTTACCAAAATTCTGAACATTAATTATCTCTATTTTAAGCCCTGCCTTTAAAAGGTTATCTCTCCTACTTCTTATTAGATGACAAAAATTATAATAGTATTACACAATTACATAACTATTAAATTAAAACGTGTTATATATATATATACACAAAACACACACACACATATATATATATATACTTTATATAGAATACTTTGAACATTAGGAACTAACCATAGCGGTTTTTTTGGTATGTATTTGTCATAGATATGGATCACACTCATCATAGGAAATTTGCACCTGCATGTAATATATTTTCATTGTTTATTCCCCATTCCCCTCCCCACCCTTCAACCTCTCCTCTCTTCTCCAATTACAAAAGCTTTACCTCCATTTTTTCCTTCCATTCTCTTTTTTCTTTTTCCCTTCATTCCCTTCCTTCCCTTCCCCTCCCCCTTCACATGCTTTCCTTCCCATTTGAACATTTTCTTCCTATTTCCTGATATCCATCATACATTTTGGTCCTTATTTACACTTTGGATTTCTCGCACACAAGATAAACAATGTGATATTTCAATATATGTGTCTGATCTATTTCACTTAGAAGTAGGGTCTCAAAGTGCATCCATTTCCCTAAAAATGTCTCAAGTTTATCCTTCTGTATGGCAAGTAATACTCTATTGTATATAGAAACTGCATTTTCTTTATTCATTCATCCATTGATAGGCTATCTTGGAAATGATTTGGCTATCAGAAATTGCACTGCTATAAACACAGGTGTGCATATATCACTGTGGTAGGATAATTTTAACTCTTTGGAAAAATACCAAGAATGGAAATTACTGGGTCAAATGGAACCGCTAGTTTTAGTTTTTTGAGGAATCTCCACAGTGATTTCCATGGTGACTGCACCAGTCGACACTCTCACCAACAGTGGAGAAGGGTTCCTTTTTTTCCCACAGCAGTTTTGGAAGTGCAGCCATTTCCACTCTATTGGTTCTGCCTATACAAAAACGGGTATCTTCCATATTCTGATATCTTCTTCTATCTGCTTCTTCAGAGTACTATAGTTTTCAATGTATAGGTTTTTCACTTCCTTTGTTAGGTCGATTCCTAAGTATTTTGTTTCTCTTAATGGTATTGTGAAAGGTAAGCTTTCCCTAACTTCTCTCTCAGACAGTTTGTTATTCATTTATAGGAATATTATTGACTTCTGAGTGTTGACTTTGTATCCTGCTATGTTGCTGAATTTGGTTATTAATTCTAGGAGTTTTAATTCTGGGATCTTCTCAATAGAGTATCACATCATCAGCAAATGATAATTTCACTTCTTCCTTTCTTATCCATATTC